CCGAGGTCTTGGACTTGAGTCACTTGTATGGGAGAGACCACGTTCCCGAGTTCTTGGACTTGAGTCACTTGTATGGGGGCGGAGGCAAATCAAAAGTTCCCGAGGTCTTGGACTTGAGTCACTTGTATGGGAGACCAAGTTCCCGAGTTCTTGGACTTGAGTCACTTGTATGGGGGCGGAGGCAAATCAAAAGTTCCCGAGGTCTTCTTGGACTTGAGTCACTTGTATGGGAGAGACCAAGTTCCCGAGTTCTTGGACTTGAGTCACTTGTATGGGGGCGGAGGCAAATCAAAAGTTCCCGAGGTCTTGGACTTGAGTCACTTGTATGGGAGAGACCAAGTTCCCGAGTTCTTGGACTTGAGTCACTTGTATGGGGGCGGAGGCAAATCAAAAGTTCCCGAGGTCTTGGACTTGAGTCACTTGTATGGGAGAGACCAAGTTCCCAAGTTCTTGGACTTGAGTCACTTGTATGGGGGCGGAGGCAAATCAAAAGTTCCCGAGGTCTTGGACTTGAGTCACTTGTATGGGAGAGACCCTCCATTTTGGTGGCACATCACACGTTGTTTTGTTGGCCCGCGATGGGAAGTGAGAGGGAAGCTGATCGGGGCTGGGCGGGCACCGCAGAAAAATCGATCGATCGCGGGACCAGAAAATGAGTGCTTGAGAAAACAACTTGGCGGTGGGTCGAAACCAATTGTACCATTTTGGGGTAGGTGCACCACCCATTTTAAAACCTATTTTAGTGGTTGGATTGGGATGTTCACTGGCAGTACGGGATTTTGACCCATGGCCAAATTGGCGGTGGGTCGAAGATAGGTACCCAAGATGAAGCCCTGCAAAATGGAGGGAGATGATGAGATATGCGCTAAAACCTGCAGTCCGCCGGTGGAGTAACTTTGGACCCATACCCATTTGATTTCGGAGGGATTCTCTTGCAATCAGGTTGTTTTTGGATGCGACCTTGTCTCAGAATTTCAGATTATATGGCTTCCTTTGCATTTTCCCTTGAAACAGTCCCGAAACTAGAATACTCTGAGAACAGCAGACATACCCATGTATCCTCGAAGCAATGCTGTTGTAAGAAAACTAGGTCCCCCAGGATCATGCCCTTTCTCTCCCCTTTTTTGGTTGGGAGGGTTCCACTACCAAAATAGACAAAACTGAAAAAAACTCGGATACCATGGAACCCTTATTCTAGCCTCTCTACTGGAAGACCACCCACAAGTTGGTGGCTCCCAGTCCGGTTCCTTTGCTTTTGAGACTTTTAGTGCTTAGTGGTTGGGTTTCCACGTGACCCACAAAAGTTGGCCACTTTTAGCGGGGGATCCGAAAACGGACACCCAGATACCCATGAATCCTCCAAGCAATCCTTCAAGGAAAAGCTGTCCAATCGCCAAGAAAGCAATGTCATGTGATGTCACTTCAATAAGCCCAGTTTGACGCCATTTGTGCTACTGGAAGGAGACGCCCTGTTGTAATGAAAGCTGTCCAATCAGGAGGACGTGCTGAGCGGCTATCCCAACCTCAGCAACTTCTATGAGCGCTTCGCGAAGGAGGAGGCCACCCAGTCCGTTTTGAAGGACGGCGGCACCTCGGACAGCACCAGTCCTTATGGATTGCTCGTGTTTTTTTCCTCTTTGAGTTGAGCAATTTCCAGTGTTTTCTGGTGTTTTGAAGGGACAGCCAGTGTTTTACGGTGTTTTGAAGGGAAACCCAAAGGAGAACAAGCTTTTTGCAAAGCGGTACCCTTAAAAACAGACCCCGTATTTGCTCAGCCCAAAGCGATCGACTGGATCTGACCTTTTGGTTTTCCCGCCCATTTGTAGTGGCCAGCGAAACTCCGCCTTCCATTTGCCTTCCATTTGGGTTTCTGAGCTTTGTGGGCAATGGAGTTTACCATCACTTATTTTGGTAAGGAGGATGCCATGGGTCACTCTCACTAAATTACCAAGAGGAAGTGAGGGACCAACATATTTGTGTTGTATGGTTCCCTTGAAAACTCTACCGAAAGAAGGGATGCCCGTGGTCTCTTTGCGGGCACTTTAAAGACTGCAAGTAAGCTGGGGTCTTCCAACATTAAGTATCATTTTAGAGTGGACAGTACAGTATTTCTTGCATACCCAATTTTGGGCCAAGTCATGTCAAGAAATAGGTTGAGTCATTTGCTTTGGATTTGCTTGGCTTCTGGAAAAAAATCTGAAAACAGGGTGAAGACATGGTGAAGACACGGGGCGGCAAGGCCCGATTTTCCGTTGGAAAACAGGTTGCCCCGAGGTTCCCATCGCAGATGGCCCAGTTTCCGGGGAGGTGTTGGGTGTGCAGTGCCAACATCACGATAGATTTCCCAGGACTCCGTTTCCGGGAAAAGGAGACGGGTCATTCGTCTCAATTTGTTGCCTTGACACCCAGTGGTTCCGGTGTTCGGCTCTCCAATTGAGAGTGTTCCCACTACATGCGTAGCTTTAAGCTTGGCCCCCCCCAAATGGCTTAACAGTACTTTCCTCTTGGTTTCCCTTTCTATCCGCCAAAAAAGGAGTTCTCCAACTCCAACCAAAGAGAGACCCAATCAGACCCACAGTGTTGAAAAGCCACGGCTACCAATCGCCCCCCCCCCCCCCCCGCCCGCCCTGCAGGTGTGGAACAAAGAACCGGCGATGCAAACTCATGATCCTCAGTGCTTCCAGTTGCCACTAGGGATCCTTATCTCTAGATTTTACATCATGGCTTCCCCTGGTTACCTATAGTTACCACTTATTCGCAACCTCCGTGCTTCCAGCCACTAAAAATCCTCACCTCTAGGTAACCTATAGAGGCTCTCGCGCCTGGAAGCACTGGGCTCCACAGAGCTTTTTCCTTTAGAGGAGGCTTGGTGAAGCCAACATTTGGTCCTGAAGGTGCTTGCTTTGGCCTCTACGGCTTGCTTCCGGCTTTGCTTTTTGACTTTGGCCTTGAACCAGGCCTTTCAATTTGCAACCTGTTTGGCCCAAGCAAAACAACACCCGGTTTGGAAAGTAGCTGCGGGACTGCGGGACTCAGTTGCATGCCATCCGTTGCACGTGGGCGAAACTCAAAGTTGGCCAGCCTGATTGTGCTTAGTTGGCCTCCCGCTAGAACTAGTCCTACCCTCGTACGTTCGGTGACATGTTACATCTTGGCCTTCAGAATCGGCTCTAAGTTTTAGTGGGACCCACCTCAACAGTGGTTGGTGGACACGAATCCCAACTTCATGTCTACAAGGGCCCTTAAGATTCATGCCCTTTGGCCCCACAAGGATTCAACTATTTCCAGCTCCACAGGGTGCCTTGATAGCTTTTATGTGCCTATGTTTTTAGGGCGGTGGAATCTGTCATTGACGAATCCATCCGTTTTCGCCAAGCGGTTCAACGGTAAAATCTGGGGTCTTGGTGCTATGTTCGATTCGCCGGTTGGACACCTGGCTCATGACCCTCCAACACGTCCACTGAACGATTTGGGGCTAAGCGGATTCCTACGAACCCAGCGCTTCCAGGCGCTTGCCACAGCAGGCAACCCTTTGGGTTGCTGAGCTCTAGGCTTTACTCGATGGTTTTTTCTGGCTACCTGCCACAGTGGCGAGCGCCAATCGGAAGCACTGGGGAAGCTTAGAATGACTTCTAGGCCCCCCGGTAGCGCCCTTTGACCCTTTTTTGGTTGGAAGGGTTCCCCTACTAAAATGGACTACAGCGAAAAAATCGGGTACCAACTTATTCTAACCTCTCTACTGGAGGACCTAGACTTGCGAACTTGGCGAATCGAAGTGGGAAGCTTTGGGACCCATGCTTCACTAAGTCACCTCAGGTCAGATGCCCGGCGCATTCGGCCAGTACTTTCAGCTCTGAGAGATGCCGGCGTGCGTTTTCGACCGGCCGGCAACCGATTCTCTGACGAGATGTGGTGTTTTGTTTTGGGGGACCCCCAGAATAGTGGTTGTCCTTTTGGGTTCTCCTTCCAAACCACAAAAACAAGTGCCCGCAAAAAAAGACACACCCATATGTGTTTTTTTGAGGGTACCCTTTTGGGGTTGGCTAGAAGGGAACCAAAAGGACGGGCACTGTTTTTTGAGTTCCCTATTGTGAGGCAGGCCCAAAAAATGGCGATGACAAATTGCTCTTTCTCGACATGGGGGGACAGCCAAAACGGATGGTTTCCTTGTGGTTTCCCTTTGAACTAGCCACGCACAGGTGTAATGTTGCCCCCATATGAATCAACCTGAGCTTATTGATGGGGGGGTGCCCTGGATTTAGTGGGGAACCATCACTTTTGGAGGGGAACCCCCCCCCTACTGTGGATGGACGAAATCCTGCACCACCTAAGAAACCATGGGAGACCATTGTGTTTTTGTATTTTACAGGAAAATCATCATTCACGGGTTTGATAGATGGTGCAGGATTTCGTCCATCCATGGTATGAATAAATTGGGGTTGGGGTCAACGTAACACGAAAAAGACGGACCCATGACGGACCCATGTGTCTATGAATGTCAAGAGTTAGAACCGCTGAACTCAAGGGGTTGGTGGAAATCCTAAATGATGTCCACCAACGGCCCCCCATGAAAACTCAGAACTACAACAGTATAATATATATATAGTATATGATGTGGGTTTGTCTTTGAACAAGGGGAATCCAAACCAAATGGTGTGTTTGCCTTTGGCTGCTCTTTGACCATGTTCCCGCAATAATAAACGCAGGTGCAATAGAAGGCCCCCATAAGAGGAACTGGCGTTTTGATGGTGTTCTACTGTTGTTTGTGGAGGACATGGGGGACACACGTGGCCCAAAAGACGAAAGAGAGTAAGCCGTTTTTGCCCATGTCTTGCGGAAACTAGTAATAAACTCACTCCCTGAGTCACTGAGTTCCTGGACTTTCACCTTTTGGCAAGACAATTTTCGTGGCAAACAAGAAGGCTCTCCAACCCACTCGATCGGACGTGAGAATGATTGCGTGCAAGGCTCATTGTGGCTATAAAGTCTGATGCCAAGCATCCTCACAACTGGGCGGGTGCAACAACGGATCTTCAATCCTCAACTAGTTTTGATGTGCGATGGGTATGCGTCAAAGCAAGAAAAAGGGGCCGCAGGTGTCAGCCCTTGCTTCCATTTAGGGCAAGCCTATGGTTGATCCACACCCAACCGTTTTTTGCCGCGTTGACCATACACCGGTCGAAGGAGGGAGCTCCAGCGTTGGTTGCTTGTTTTCAGAAGGGAACCTTGATGTTGCTGAACACAAGTCCACCCCAAACGTATCTTTGAGCCCGCTCCCCGGAAAGAGACACGCGTATGTGAAACACCGCAGGGGTGGGGAGAGTACGTGGTGCATTCCGAGCTGAGAACAAGCAACATGCTGGCCTGCGAGCTTAAGATTTAGCTGTCATGCAGCCGAGCGCGCATCAAAGACTTAGACGAACACGGCTTCAGTGGGGAAAATAGCGGCCGCGGTGATTTGCCAAGCATGTTTTAGAGAACAAGAGAACTCCAGGTCCATCCCTTCTGTTGAAACCTTGTTCTTTTCGATCAGCCACCAGCACCCCCCAGCACTTGAAAGAACAGCCGCTGTTTCCCATGTCCAAGATCCCAAGTTCTGTTCAACAAGCAGTGGTTGGGGGTGCTGGTAGCTAGTTTCCCGTTTTTTGTGGGTTCTGCAAAGAATCGGACCCCAAGTCGCCTGTTGTATTGCGATCACGCCTTTTGGGGGGTGGTTTTCTTTTGGCACCTGATGCAGGTCCTTTACGGTGGCCTTGAATGGAAGCCGCAGGCAGTGCCAGTCTAGCAGATGCCAAGTATCTCAGATGCCAAGCATCCACAACAATAAAATCCCGTTGTTCGTTGGGGGTAGTGGTTTGGCGGCACCCGCTACGCGTCTATGGTCCTTTTCGGAGGGACATTCTGGACACAACATGTTCCGCAAATCAGCCTGGGAAGAAGTTCTAATTTGCACATGCCCACTAGAACAACGGTAAACTTTGACGGTGACTCAAGTGGGTATGAGTTTGAACTGCGCGGCACCCAAACCGATGCCCATTTTAGGAGTGGATTGTAGTCAGGCCTGTATTATATAAACAGACATCTATGTCTATATCTATATCCTTGTCTATGCCAATATCTATATCTACATCTATTGTGCACCCAAAAGAATGCTTAACTTCCGCAGGCCGCTTTGAGGCCAACACAGCCATTTTCTTCGGAACGGCGAGTGGCAAAGGGGTGGGTCATGGAAAAGTCACTGCCTCTAGACGAGCCTGGCAAAAATAGGGGGGTAAGAGTCATCGGTTTTTGTGCCAGACATGGCGGTTTCTGCCTCACGGCCCTAATCATCAGCCTCACTGCAGCTTTCATGAACTTCGGTATGCTTAGATGATTGATATGCCGGAAGAGATGAGGAGTTAGGTTTCAGAAGACCCAAAGACCAAACACGTGTTCTCTTCCTCTTACTTCATACGAGTGCGACGAGCCGGTGCTCTCGCAGTGGACGGCGGCACGACCAGGCTGATCAGCTCCACGAAAGAGGCAAACTGAAAGACGACGGATCTGTGGGATTCAGAATGGCCTACACATTTTGCTTTGTGTTCGTAGGGTGGGCAAATTAGCGAGAATGGTAGAGATGAGTTTGGTGGAAACAAGCAAGAATGCGTTGGTCGAGTACATCGAGCGGTTGAGATGAGAGTTGAGAGTATTGTTTTCCGAAACGTTTTTTTTGGCCGGTTGCTGTTCGCGGGATCTGGGGAAAATGATTGGAGGGGTTTGGGTCACGTGAATCGCAATCCTTTCACATTTGGGTGTGTCTCTTTTAGGGGACCCCGCAATGGTGGCTGTCCTTTTGGTTTCTCTTTAAGTCCACAAACAAAACCCAGACATTCCCTTGGTACCTCGTGAGGATGGCTTTTGGGGGGTAAAAAAAAGGGTCTAAGTACCTCCTTAAGAGGTACTTGGACCCTCTGGGAAAGGGGACTTACAACCATGCGTTAAACCCAGGATTCGAACCACTTAGCGTTACGGCAGGTACGTGCAACTTCCCTCCAATTGGTGGTTTGGAGCCCGCTGGTTTCGTTGGTCAAGGGGGGGCTTCCATCATCCCTATTTGCCTGCCCCACAGATCGAGACCAGTCAAGACGCCTCGCCCAAGGTGCTGCCATCACGACCACATTGGCTGTGATCTGATGACTCCGCCAGCGCCGGCGCGCTTTGACCCCCGAGTGCTATAATTACATATATATATATATATGACTAATATATATATATATGAATAATATATATATATATATATGAATAATATATATATATACATATGTGTATGATAAATATATATATATATAGGCCGACCGAGGCTCCTTTTTATTCAAACAAGTCCTTTGAAGTGAACTTGTTCAGGTGTTCTCAACGCTACATTCGGATCCCGGTGGCTTCAAGGTATGAGGGGACCAATGAGGAAAGATCTTTGTTTGAGGATATCACTTAAATGGACCCAGTTTGATGTCGCATGCCACTGGTCGGGGGTTGGGGAATCAGGCGATGGCCAACTAGCGGCACCGTGATGAAATTATCCTGAAGACGTCATTGGAAGGCCTTCCACATGCTGTGGAGGAAAACCTCGACCACCTCATGGAATGATTCGATACCCCTGTATATACCAGCAATGGTTTCAACCATGGTTTCAACGTGGCGCGAAATGGATTTCGTCCATCCACCGTTTGATCAGGCAACGTTTGGATTCAATTTCGATGGCCTCGATTTGAAATGATTTGATTTCTTTCAGGCCGGGGTCCAATCTTAAAGACACAAAGCCAATTGGCGTCCAGTTGCTGAAGTGAATACCTGGAGTCTCCTTCTGACACTCTGAAAATGGTTGGTCATTACCCAAAATCACGGGTCATGGAGACTCCAGGTTTCTCCTGTTGGTTCTTGAAGGGAATCTATCGCTACTGGAAATTTATGTTGTTTTTCGATATTCTTTTCTCCAGAAAGTGAAAAAGCAAATGGAAGCTGCCTGGAGCCTCCATGGCCCGAATCAAACATGGGTCAATGACCAACCAACATTTTGGGGTAATGACCAACCATTTTTTGAGGGTCAGAAGGAGACTCCAGGTACTGTAAATTTATGGTGCTTTTCGATATATATATATATATATATATTTTCAGGGGGTGAAGAAGCAAATGGAAGCCGGTGTCCCCCCGTTTCAGTTGACCCAAAAGCGGGGCAGGGATCCTCGTTTTGTCCGCTTTGCCAGGGAGCCTCCAAAGCTGGGGCGCCCGCAGAGCGGGCATCTGCCGAACGGGCGCCGAATCGGACCCCCCGGAAATGGCGCGGGTTACGGGTTTTCCTGTTGGCTTCCCTTTCGAAATCCACACCCAGAGGGTCCCTTGGTATCTTCTAAGGAGGTACTGAACGACCCCTTTTTACCCCCCCAAAAGCAGCCGAAAAAGTGAGAACCATTTGGTTCTACTTGGTCCCCCAGCAGGGCCCTTTTACCCTTGTTTGGGGCGTTGCCATTGCGAGTTCTGGGGGTAACATGAGCTCGGCCAATGAGACTTTGGGACCCAGAAATGCGTTGGTCCAACAAGAAAACGGCAAAATCAAGGCCCTGAACACGGAAAGCAATGCCGGAGCAAGCACTGGCGCATGTACGATCCCGTGAAGGAGTGGAATTGCGGGGATTGGAGGGTCCAACGTCATCCACACCCTGGAATGAACTGCCCGCGATGTGAGCTGATCTATCCCCATGTATTCCTCGTTTGCTCTGTAGCCTCTGTTGGGAGCCTGCTGATCTCTCAACTTTGACACCCAACCCATGTGGTCCCACCTTAAAAAAGACATGCTCTTATGGGTCTGCTAGCCTGAAACCCAGATAATCCACCAGCTACTTTGAACCTAACCTCAAACTGCCAGTGAGTCTCCTGATACTTGGCCCCAGATCTAATTCA